ACAGAATGAATGGGGCCATGTATCGTGAGATTTTGAGTGCAAACCTCCTTCCATCAGCAAGGGCATTGAAGATGAAACGTGGCTGGGTCTTTCAACATGAAAATGATCCCAAACATACCGCCCGGGCAACGATGGAGTGGCTTCGTAAGAAGCATTTCAAGGTCCTGGAGTGGCCTAGCCAGTCCCCAGATCTCAACCCCATGGAAAACCTTTGGAGGGAGTTAAAAGTCCGTGTTGCTCAGCGACAGCCCCAAAACATCACTGCTCTAGAGGAGATCTGCATGGAGGAATGGGCCAACATACCAGCAACAGTGTGTGCCAACCTTGTGAAGACGTACAGGACACGTTTGACCTCTGTCATTGCCAACAAAGGTTATATAACAAAGTATTGAGATGACCTTTTGATATTGACCAAATACTTATTTTCCACCATAATTTGCAAATAAATTTGTTCCAAATCAGCCAATGTGATTTGTCTGGATTTGTTTTCTCATTTTGTCTCTCATAGTTGAGGTCTACCTATGATGCCAATTACAGGCCTCTCTCATCTTTTTAAGTGGGAGAACTTGCACAATTGGTGGCTGACTAAATACTGTTTTGCCCAACTGTACCTCTGTACAGGGGCTTCCTGTAATCAAGACTGGTCTGGGTTTGCAAAGACATTCAGTGCAAACAAATTGACTTGTATTGTTTGTGGCTATTGAGGAATATAGTTAAATGAAAGTTTTATGCATGGAGTACAGCTTTAACCCTTTATGATTAAAGCTTGCTGTTATACTGCTCGAATTTTGGCCTATCCCTGCTAAATCAGCTGAAATTTGAGATGTTAATGGCCCTGTCTGCAGGTTTATTTGCAACATTGTTGAAAGTTGGTCCAAAAAAAAGCATGGGCTGCTCGAGTATTCAGGGACGGCTTAATACAATAGCTGGCAGTATGGATTCCCTCATCAATGCTGTTTAGCATCAGGGGGAAATAAATAGATTAAAGGTGGCCATACACTTTACAACCATCGCAAGACCTTAGTCTTGCGATGGTTGTAAAGTAATTAAAAAAAAGTAATTAAAACTCTCGATCATCGCAAGCCCGCCCCCCTGAGGGGCGGGCTTCCGATGACCGCAATGCTGAATGGGCAGTGTGCGCGTGCGCACACCGGCCCGTTCGGCATTTGTCTCCCGAGCACCGTTCAAACCAGCCGAAAATGTACGATTTTCGGCTGGTTTTCTAGCGTGCTCCTTAGACAAAAGACGTGCGACCGTACAGTAGAAACGGTCGCACGTCTTCATTCACACTGCTCGATTCTCGTACGATCGCAGGGATTTCCCGCGATTCTCGTACGAGAATCGAGCAGTGTATGGGCACCTTTACAAGAGAAATTCTGTGCTTGTCAGAATACCAGATTGGCTGCAGTATCTGTTTGGCTGAGAATTTAGGACTGGCTCCTTCAATTGAAAAATTGACTTTTGTCATACAGAGGGATGCCGATGAGGCCGCACACTGCTCACATTTTGAGCAGTGTATGGCCAGCTTTCAAATTTTCACTGCAAATGAATGTTAAAGTTAGTTTCCTGCACAGATGTCCCATCTTCCCTGAAAAGGTCAACTGTATATATATACTTTATGTATATAAAGTATGTATACAACGGCCCGTTCGGCAGTTGTCGAACAAGCAGGCCACTAACCCGCCGAGAATCGTACGATTCTCGGTGGGTTTTCCAGCCTGCTTGTTCGACGGAAGATGTGCGATCGTACAGTAGAAACGGTCGCACGCCTTCCATACACTTTGCGATTATCGTACGATCGCCGGATTTCCCGCGATTATTGTACGATAATCGTACAGTGTATGGGCACCTTAAGTTACATAGGTTGAAAAATGACATCTCCGTGTAGTTCAACTAAAAGACAGAAATAAATAATAACCTGCTTTCACAGAAACCTAACTGCCGTTCATCCAGAGGAAAGAAGAGCATCCTTATTAAGCGTGGTCCAATAATTGTCAATGGCTCAATTCCTTCCTGATCCCGAAAGGCATTTGGTTATTTCCTGTATCCACAATCTGTGGTGTTAACATTTATAAATATTAATAGCCAGAAATATTCTATGCATTTAGAAATGCAAAAACAATCTACACGGGTTCACTAGAGGAACAGTATCCCCTCTGGAAGTCTATTGCACATTCTCAGCTCTTACTGTCCCTCTCCATAATCTTTATCTCCAGCATCCACCTGCCTGATTTACTGTGAAGCCTGTAAAGCTGCATGCACCCCATAGTCTCCTTTCATCGTGGTAAACCCATTACACTTCATTGCTCTGGTGCAAGCTCTGCATTGAGACAGGAACATTAATGCTGCTGTTGTCAAGGCAGCTTCACGGGACACACAGCAAGCAGTTCTGGGAATGGTAGTCTATATTCCAATGTTACAGGACACTCTGTTATGCGTGCGGCTCACTGTAGACACAATACAATTACGCAGATTGCTTCTCCAAATCAGTTGGCAGCCAAAGAAGAGCAGAGCACTCTTGATATAACACCATTCCTAGACTTAGATGTAATACTGTACAGAACTTGGTAATAAATTATCTGTGCCAGTACGTGTGCAGCGAAAGCTTCTAAGCACTCTGATCACAACAAGTGTAATGAAGAGAGAGAGAGAGAGAGACAAAATATATGTCGAGTTAATAAATATAAGTGAAATAAATAAGCAGAAAACTTATATACTAAGAAAAGCTGTGCAAATAAAACAGAATTCATGAATAACAAACGCCATCTCATCCCTGTGTGAAATCTTGAGCTCAAGTGGATACAACTCGTTTATATATAAATAAAATTAGACAATAACAGAATTCAAAAGTGCAATAAGCATACATGTAGTGTTATCCACATGTGGGAGTCTATTTCCACAATATCGTAGGACAAGGTAAAGTGCAGAAAAGTTCAAGGGTGTAATAAACACACATCTAGTGTTATCCACAAGTAAAAGTATTTTTCCACACTATCAGGAAGCCACGAATCTGAAGTCTCTCTGAATCCTTCACCATATGAACCCAGTGAACACACAGGTGCAGAGGGGTGTTCACCTGATAATATGGACCCACAATAGGTCTCACTGCGCATTTCCCTTCTCAGAAAGGGGATGGAAACCCTTTTATTAGGGATGCACCGATACCGTTTTTTCGGTATTGAGTATGAGTACCAATAATTTTTTTTCGGTACTGGCCGATACCGAGTACCGGTGCCTTGTGCCCCAATGTTACGCCCGGGTCCCAGCGGATATGTAACAGGATCTCAGCGACGGAGTTATTAGGGAGAGTTGGACCCAATGGCTGGTTAGGCTGGAGGGTTAGCAGGGCTTTCGATCCTCAATAGTGGAACGCCTTGCTAACCTCGCAGGAGCCTTTAAATAGCCCGCTAGCGCGGGAAACTGAATGACACGTCTCGCCGCTTCCGCGTTCCAGGGTGGAACGCATCGGCCGGCATCATAGTGGGGAGGCGTGAACAGCGGTGATGCACTTCCGGGTGCGTTCCACCCTGGAACGCACACTCGTCGCCGGACGTGCCCGGAAGACCTTACACCCAATTATCAGGAAGTCGGGCGGCGGATCATGACCCGTTGCCCGATTTCCTGATTGCCTGTGAAGCCAGTGTTCTACCGAAAGAACACTGGCTTCCTGACCAATCAGGAAGCCTGGCAGTGGGTCATGAGGTGCCATTCGGCTTCCTGATTGGTCAGGAAGTCAGGCTGCCTAGTACTAGTACTCACCCAAATACTCGGCAGCGATAACGATACTAGTATCCCTACCTTTTTATATGATAAAAATGAAATGCTTTTGAATCAACATAGGAGTCGCAGGAATCACCATACCCAGAAAAGGATAAACAGAAACAAGAACCATCCAGAGAAGGGAATCTTTATTATTAAAAAGGGTACTCACATAAAACATCAAAAACAGGCATGTAACATCATACACTCTCTCGCAGGGGGAAACCCCACAGGAGTACAAGATAGGAGACTCCATTACAACGAAGCCATCCTCCCGGCAAGTTCAGCTGTAGCTGCAGTGACGCCAGAAGCGCTGCCCTACACACATTACGTCCAGCGTGACTTCGTCTTAGAACACAGAAATACAAAACTTACTTGTCCTCTGGTCACTGTTCATTTAATCTTACTAAAGGAACTATGTGGTAGTGCAGAATCTGAACAGGAATGACAAACTCTTCTTGAATGACTATTCAAGAAGAAACCTTACCACAGCCTTTGGATGTCTAAGTAGGTTCTAATCTTATTACAACCTGTTGTTTAACATGAAGTCCTGAAATCAATAACCAATAGAAACAAGAGAAATATGTTTTTAGTTATTAGAAGTTTCACTGTTGGCATGTTCACTTGAAGGAGAATTATTATCAAAAAAGCATATTATGGCGAGTATAAATAAAGAACAATTGCAGAACTCATTTTATTCTAGATTTAAATGTGATCCTTTGGGTATGTATGTGTTGTTGGTGTGTATGTATGTGTATTCATTAGCGCCTAATAATTTTATGAAAATGTTTTTCTTGCTTGTCATGAAATGAACTGCCAAGCTAAACTGTATAACATTTGCAGGAGAAATGATGTCACCGCAATCTTAAACAAGTAAGAGATGGTGATCCCTTTAGGAAGACAGTTGCAGACTGAAAGGTAAGTTTTGCAAAAAAAAAGTAAACTGTAGGTCTTACACTTACAGGCTGCAAGTAACTTAAGAATATGTTAGAAAGCATAATGAAAAAACAATAACATGTAAAAAAGTTTACTGTACATTTGGATTTAGAGTTCTAAATGGAACTGATGCATCGCTGTTACAAAAAATCCAAATGTCTAAATAAACTCTGTCAGGCTTTTTCAACCAGGGTTCTGTGGAACCCAAGGTTACCTCCAGAGGTTGCTGAGGGTTTTTTTTCAGCAATGAGTAATTTCTGCATCTCGGGTAAGTAGCTAGTGAAACCAATAATCGTTTTAGCTAGCTATAGGGGTGGGGGTTATTCCTGTATTTCACGCCAGTGCTCCATGGGCTGTAGTTATAGTAATTATAAGAAGGGTTCCCTGATACGTGAAAATTATTCCAAGGGTCCCTCTGTGTTAAATAGGTTTGAGAAAGTCTGCTCTAACTTATACAGTGAATGGTTATTGAAGTAATTCTTATTAAAGTGTATGTTGGCACAAAACAGATATGCAGTACATCTCTGCATGTTTCCCAATGCTTTATCCCAAGGGTAGGCAAATTTCAGCCCTCCGCTGTGGTGAAACTACAACTCTCATCATGACTCTCACTATGGGAATCATGTCCCAAAATAAAGGGGTTTTGGATGGGTAGCTTTCTAATGATTAGCAAAGTATTGGGCAGGCGAATAAGATGCAACCCGTGGGAGGCTTTGCTCAATTTAAAACTGGGGGCTGTACCAACATGTAGTTTTATTGCCTTACATACTAGCTGTAGCAAAACAGACATTGGCAAAGGCTTGGAGCTCTAGTACCCCCTCTATACATCAAGTAAGGAGCAAGATAGGGTGGTATATGATAAATAAAAACTTTCTGCAACTTTAAATGACACAATCTCTAAATTCCAGTAAACTTGGGACCCTTGGATACAAAACTACATGTCAGTGGACTTCAGAATGACATTATGAAATATAATTTAGGGTCCGAGGATTAAGATGTAAATTGGGGAAGGAATGGGAGACAGAGAGGAAAATTAATAAGGTTAGGATTTTTTTTTTCCGGGTAGGGTGTGAGAACGATGAACGGGGTTGTAAGGATATGAGCGAAAAAGTTATAAAGGGTACTTATGGTGCTTTTTATTATGTAATTATTTTGTGTACTCTTCCCTTAATGATGGAGAAGAATGTTGTTGAAATTGGATGTTACTAATTGAATGTTGTTAGATTATTGATCAAAGAAAAAAATGATTATTTGATATTGCACCAATACAGCTAGGCTTCTGCTTGTACATTTGGAATGCATGACCTGTTACTACCCCCTGATTTGAAGAACTCTGATGGCAGTGAGTGTGGTTTTAACAAATTTAAGATTTGGTTCACCTAAATAAAGGAACATTTAGTTTTCATTGATGAGTGTGGTTTTAACACCAGAATGCAAGCCTACTCTTGATGCCAATAGTATGTAGATAATTATGATGATTTTTTTTTACCTCATCAGTTTTCAAGGCAGTGATTACTTATACTAAGCACTGTATATGAGGGATTTTATGTTGATCTTTAAGTCTGCATTGACTTCAACACTTGGAAACACACTGAGGGGAATTTATCAAAACTGGAGCACACGAAATCTGGAGCAGCTGTGAATGGTAACCAATCAGCTTCTGTCTTCATTTTGTTCAGTTAAGATTTCAAAATGAAAGAGAGAAGCTGATTGGTTGCCATGTACAGCTGCTCCAAATTTTGTCTGCTCCAGTTATGATACATTCCCATCTCAGTGCATTACAGTGCTATTCACTTTCAGCTGGACCCCAACTCACTGCAACAGTGAGTCTGTAATAATGTCAACACTTGTTGGTGTTATCTCTGATTTATTGTGTAGATAAATAATTCTGAGTTAAAACCAAAACTAGCTTGTCTGAATGACAGCAATAAACAGAGTTATAAAATGTGGTACTTTGCACTTAAGGCTCCACATGATGTATAGTGAACTGTAGATTAATTGGCATTAGTGTTTACTCCTCCAATGCTGTGTTCTTTTGAATTTTTACCCTGAAATTATGAACGGTCATTTACCTTTCATAGCTTGCCATGTACTGTAGGTTTGCATTAGGTCAGTCTACTTTTATCCACGCAATCAGAGCGCGCTAGTCCAGATTGTCTTCGACAAACACTGTATTAATAAATGGATGACTGGATGACGAGACCTGTGTATGGTTCCTGTATTCGAAAATCAGCATAGGAACAGGGCCGGATTTACTCTCCCTGCCGCCCCAAGGCTTATTTTTTAATAATTTGTTTCTTATTATTTTTTCATTTTTTTAATCACCTTTTTAATTTTTTTATAAATGTATTTTTTTTCCACCTAACTTTATTGCTATCACACAGGAGATAGCAATTGGAGATGACAGGTTCTCTCTATTGACCCTGTCACCTCCAATACAGGAGTTCTAGCACAGCACTGTGCTGGAACTCCTGTGACAGGTGAGAGAGGAAGAGCACAGCTCGCCCCTCTCACTGTGTACAGTCTACACGGAGCGGGAGGGTTACTTTTAACCCTGCCGTTCTGCTCACTGCAGGGAGAGACTCGGCGGCGGAGGACGGAACCAGAGGAGAGAGGTAAGTGCAGGGGAGAGGGGAGGAGGCTGCAGACTGTTTACATGTGATCTCGGCGAAATCGCAGAGTTCACATGTAAACGAAAAATCGGCTGCCTCAGTCCTGTGCAAAGCAGGACTGAATGTAGAGAGGGCAGCTTCCCCACAAGGACACCGCTGCCGCCCCTCTGCGCCCTGCCGCCCCGAGGCCGGGCCTCGGTGGCCTTATGGGGAATCTGGGCCTGCATAGGAATACAAGGAGAAACTTCTCTAAGACTACACATACATCAATACTAGTTAAAATCTAGCATCAAGTCCATCATCCACCTATACACCTGCTTATATTTAAAATCAGATTTACTGAGGGGCCACCTACAGTGACTACTAAAGTGAGAAAACAAGAAGGAAAAGGAAGACAAGATAAGCAATACAAAATACAATAATAAAGATTATTTTAATGGGTTGCTCTTGTATCTCTCATAATGGGTTGCTCTTATATTTCTCAAACTTTCTCCAGCCATCAAGCTTTGTTGTGGTGATCTCTACTGGCAAATATAATTTTTGGAAGGATATAGATAGATAGATAGATAGATAGATAGATAGATAGATAGATAGATAGATAGATGCTAAGAAAAATTCTGGGGAAATCATTGAAGCTTTTAACAAAATGTTAGCGTTATCAATAAGTTAAGGTAACCATAGACAATAGATGTTTATGATAATATGCAGATCTCCTGCAGACTCTTTATCTTTGGATGGTCAAGGCATCATTTGGTGGTTGGAATATATCTGACTTGTTTGAGGTCTGTGGTCATATTTTAGCTACGTTTTAAATGTTTCCAGCAGATAATAATCTCATATTCATTGTATCTAGTATTTCAGCAAGCCTTCCATAACTTTCAGGCTTTTTTTGTTTCCAATTTAATATATACTGAGATTAAAATGTCATCTTCTAATATCAGGTCACCCTGATATCTAATATCAGGTCATCAGGTATCCCTGCTTCCACTTTCAAAAGATGCAGCCTAGGAGAAATTGCTGAAGAGGCTTAAATTAGTAACATTTGATGTAATCGTATGACACTCTCAAAAGGCATGAATCAGGGACGATCTATATGTCAAAGGTGAAGTACTAATGTCACTGGATTCTGGTAGTTGTGGTGGCAGTAGAACTGGCAGATTCTTTACCATTTCATTTTGGTGGAACCAATCCATAGGCCTGCTACTAAGAAGGAAACCAAGAATTAGGTTCTTATATATCAGGAATACTGACTGCACAAACATTGATTGGAGTAAACATTGCTACTGTCTTGACTTCCACAAGAAAACGGCTTGTAAATTATTAAAGACAATTAAATTATTAGACAAGAAGTTTCACCTCAGTGTTTAAAGGCGATTTTCTAAAGATTCTGTCCACTGCTATCACTAAGCAAGCCAATTGGACGTGGGGTTGTATTGGTTTAGAGTAAATGGCTATAACTACATAATACAATTTTTGTATTTTATCTTCAGCAAATAACTGAATAAAAGCTCAGAAAAAGGAAATTCTTTATTTGACATTTTAATTTGTATATTCATGTTATAAAGGTGCATGTGTTTTAGAGGACATATTTGGCTTAATTTATTATTAATGTAATATTATTCATAATAATTGCTTTCCAGAGCCAGGTAACTTAGTAGCATGCGTCTGTTCTCTGCTGTGTGTGTGGAACAATAGTTAAGGACTTGCATCCCTTAGTTCTGTTACAAGCAACTGTTCTCTACATCATTAATACCAATTCTTCTTTGATAGGCTTCTTTATCTTTTGTTCTTGGCTTCAATAAATTATGTTGGCCAGAATTCATCAATTCAGACTTTACATGTGGACCGAGGATAAAGTGTGCTTGAATGATCAGCCTTTGTCTCAGACAGACACAGAGCAATCATTTCTGTATATGTGAAGACATCATTTAGAAAGCATTACTCTTTCTTTTTTTTTCTCTTTCAACCTTACTGTTGCAATGCTTTGACTTAAAGCGACACTAAACTCAAAATCATAAAAATACATTCAAGTACCTTTAACTATTAACAAGAATGTAGCTTATTTGTGCATGTAGATGTTAACAGCCCCGATGCTGGCGACGTACACTGTACGTCGTCAGTCACGAAGGGGTTAAATCATATCTGAATTCTTGCTTACACCTTCCTTCCTTCTGGAGGGTGGCTACTTTTGTTTCCCATGGTCCCTGTGTGTGTTGTAGAGTAGCGACCGCTCCAAGCTCACTCCCATGATACACCAGAAATCTCACATTTGCTTTACTAATTTGGGAAACAAAAGTAGTCCCCTCCAGAAAGAAGGAAAGTGTCAGCACAAATTCAGAGATGATTTGAGGAAGCTGAGTAATGCACAAAAAGGCTACATTTTTGTTAATAGTTAGGGTACTTTAATGCAGTTTCAAGATTTAACTCCAGAGTTTAGTGTCACTTTAACATTATTGTTAGGGCTGGTTCACACCAAGCGCGTTCCAGGCGCAGAGCATTTACAGAACAGATCAAAACTGCATCCAATGTATTCCAATGGTATTTTGGGCTCTAGTTCACACCGCAGCGTTCAGTTCCAGAGCATGTAGAAAAACTGTAGCAAGCCCTATTTTTCCTGCTCTGGAATGCATGCAAACGCATCAAAAACCCATGGAACGCACTGAAAGTCCATTTTAGGCTAAAAAAATGTATTTTTTATTTTTACAAAAACGGCCCGGAACGCATAAAAAATGTGGCAAAACCCACTGTAATGCGTGTGCAGAAACTCCTGCAGATCTGGTCTGCATTTTGTGTGAACAAGCGCTTGGGGTTTACATACAATTTAGACTTATCTTATTTGCTCCCATTTCGGTCTTTTAAATATAGCATTGAAAGTGTTGTATTATATCTGTTTGATAAGTAAAAAACAAAAAAAAACATGTTGATCCTGCCAGAAATCTTCTGAGCTGATAATTTGCTGTGTTCTCAACAGACACAGCAAATCAAGCTACTTCTTTCCCCCCTGGCTCCCTCTCCTCCCTGCTAGTAGATGAACAGTTGCTGGAGTATGCTCTATTCCTTGTGATCTAGTACAGGACATTCAGAGAGACTTGGAAGCAGCTGTTTGAGGATTGTAAGTGTTTGAGCAAAAATGTAAAGCAATGCTTTGTAGGGCAGTGCATATTTGTTTGATCTGGATTTATTATTGAAAAAAAAATTGAGAGTTTAATGCTTCTTTTAAAGTCCAGTGTTCAGTTTTGTGTACTAGTTTTGTCCACTAGGAAGCAGATGCCAAAATTATACAATTCTGGGTTCCTTACTATCCTTACTATTTTATTTAAATAGACCAGCTTGATGTAAACAATATTTTCAGTTTGTGTTAATGCTTTAAAGATTAGGGCGATTCAATAAAGTATTTTTAACACTTTTCTGGTGGTATGCTCCCTGTAAAAAAAAACTAATTTATGAAAGCCTTGCGGTAGTTAAGTGTTCTGATCCATGCAATAGATTTAGGTAGTTCTTTTTTGGCCACAATCACAATGTGTTTACTACGGCTGCGACATTCAAAAAGCATTATATATTCTTTGTGGAGGAGATTGTTCCCTGATTTCCTCCACCCTAACCCATCCTGAACACTGCTCTTGTGCAGTGAGGCTTGTTATGATTGTCTTGGAAAAGACAATGGATCCATTTGCTTTGTGGAGCTGAGTATTTTCATTGGAAAAAATACTAAAAGTGAACTTCACACTACAGAACAAATTGGCAATAAATGCATCAGAAGAAGTACATTTGTCCTTTTTCTGCTGCTGCTAAATGTTCAGTATGGTAGGTGTAATGTTCTGCCAAGCTTTGGTCCTGTAGCAAAAAAAAACAGGATTCTTCCCCATCCCCTTTCCTTAACTTACTTGAAATAGGAAAAAAAAGCAGTAAGCCAGCAGTGTTGCTGGGGATTGGGAGAACTCCTACATAGAGGATATTGACAGAAGATGAGCAAGTCTGCTTTCAAAGGATCATTTATTAAAAAATGATAATTTTTTTTGTCTTGGATCACTTACTTTGTAAGAGACTTTAAGAGCAAGACCTACACTTGAATTCTCAGGTCCATCCAGATGCATGTGGCCAATGGGAGAGGGGGGGGGGAGTGTCTCACTTTTCCCTGTTTTTTTTTCTATATTATGAAGAATACATTTGCAAAAATAAGGTTCCATGCTGGAGGGAAGATCTGGTATGTCTGACAGGAGAATCTGTCCAATTAAGAAGGATTTGAATGGTTGGATCTTTTAAGAGATATCCAGTGAGCAATCCCAAAAAAGCTGCAATCAAAATTCCAGTTTTACATGGATTATTTAATGGTCAAACTAAACCGATGATTGTGTAATTTAGACACAATGGAAAATGGTGTGTTTGGCTGTGGCCTTCCAGAGCCAATCTTGCAAACCTCCTATTCTATCACCAGCAGTTACAGATTGCCACACTCACCCCATGCTTATTGATAAATAAACATGGACTGTAATTGTAATTATCTGCTGGTAATTGCAGCAACTCTTGACTGTTAGGATAGCCATATACAGTGCATTGGTGCAGCACCTGTTGCAGGCTACTCCAATTGAGCTGCTTGGGGAACTGAAAATCTCACAATAGTTATCTGTATGGTTTAGTCCTGAGTGTATGATGGCTTGGTTGTCATTACATCTCTTTATGTTTCCCATAGGTCTTCTCCTAAGTGGATGAATGGTCTTGGCAAATATTAGTCATCAGCTCCTGGTGAAAAATGAACATCGTTGGCTTTCTAAAATCTCAGTTCCTTTGTCATCTTTTCATCAGCTATGTGTTTATTGGAACTGGACTTATCATTAATTGTATTCAACTTTTAACTCTTCTTCTATGGCCTTTTAACAAACAACTTTACCGGAAAATCAACTGCAGACTTGCATATTGTGTATCAAGCCGTAAGTTCTTCCTTATCCTTTTTTTTCTCTATATTTTTAGTGTGGAAATATAGTTTTTATGTGTAATAATTGACAAAACACATATTCCTGTTCTAAATTAAAAAAAGTATAGTAAACAATTATCAGTCATGATAGATTGTCATGTCAGAAAATGCTTAGGAACTGGACACAAAATCACTTTGCTAAATGTAATAGAGAACAGTTATTAGCTCTGCTTCAGTTTTTAGTAGAAAAAGCATGGCCTAATTTCATGAATTATTGGGAAATTTGTCTTGCTGTTATCTGCAACAATCAGGTTTTCCACACCAGTATCATTAAACACTGTTTTTTTTAAATCTAGATATGTTAGAAAAAAAGAGAAGTTACCCCTGTATGACCACTACATTCCCCTGATCTAGGAGTCTCTAACAGTGCCTTAAAGGTTAAAGAGGAACATTACCCACATGTTCAAAATAACAAAGGCACCTATAGAAATATTTAGTAATGATGATCTACAAACAGATACTTCTAGATAATTGCAGGCTTCTTTTTTTTTTTTGCATCTCCTTTTTCTCTTTTTTTTCCCCCCCAGTCTTCTGACAGTGGCTATTTTAACTAAGGGCAGGTTACTAGATCTCTCTATACTTCCTGGAAGTGGCACATGTGACTTGGACATGTGACCATGCACATCATCTCAGGAGAGTAAAATGCCTTTCCCTCAGATATGATGAGATTACAGGTGAGATTTCCCAGCAATGCTCAGTTGATGCAACCTTCCCAGAATGCAATACTTGGGCACAATTATACAATTTATGCCAAAATGGACAAGGAAGTGGGAAAAAGGAAATTGTAAGTAAATTAAATATGTTTGTTTAGCTAATTAATGTAAGATGATTTCATGTCAGCATGCAGAGATGTATGCTATTGTGATTCTTAGTTAAGAATCACAATCACATTAAGTCTGTTTTGCATAGAGGCCAGGAAAGGTTAAAGCCCCCAATCTAGTTCTTATCACCTTCTCTGTGCCTATGGGGAGGACAAGAAGGGACTGGAAATTTCTCCAATGATTTTATTAAAGTGGGAAGGCTTAGCACTTGAGTGCATTTATATGCTGTCTGTATCTTCCTGTCCAAGTGATGACTGCAACCCCATTGGTGTTAGGTAAGAAACAGCCTGTCCATGATTCCTGGACAGCCTAAAGACCTTATCATTGGTTGTTTCACCTAATGTTTGGTATTTCAGGACACATTTCAGTGCTTGCAGGTCATGCCATGTTCTATGACATTCCTTTTCCCCGCGTTACAAGTGATTATTAGGATCTATTCAGCATAAGGGTCCAGTGATATTTTTCCCAAAGGTCTTCCCAGCTATAATGCACTGATAAACAAGGCTCTCCAAATCCTAACCTTGCATTTAAGTAAAATTTGATGACCTAGTCTTGTGAAATTATCAGTTGCTGGGCTGTCATGCTGACTCTCTTGCTTAAATATTTGAGTCACTAATCTGGAATAAGCATGGGGATTATGACATTTCTCTGTCTGTTCTGCATAATTGTTTTGTGTCTGTGACTCAAAGTTTTAAAGCTAGTAGTTGGCATACCAGCCAAACTTGTATTTTTACAAGGAAGCCAGCAGTGACAGCCCCTATATTTTGTTCATGACAGGTTTAAGTTTTGACTGACACGCTAGAGTTTTTGGATCTAGAGCATTAAGTGTATTACACCTGTTAATGCGTCATACTTCTTGCATGTTTACATGAATCTCTTTGTAATTTTCTTAAGCCCCCATCTGCTATGAGATCTGACACCTATATCTGCTGTAACCTGTCACATTCACATCTGCTGCAACATCTCTGACTTGCATCTAAGGCCACATTTACACAGGGCTTTAGGCTTTAGCTGGCGATTCTTGTGGCAACAACCTACGGATTCTTCCGCAGGAATCCCAGGCATTGCCGGTGCAAGGATTTTAGCCTACACAGGCTAAGATGCATTTTGTTTCCCCCCTTCCCGCACCCTCAGGCAGCCTTATGGTAGTGCTAGCCCTGCATAGCCAGCGATTATTTACATATGAATGAGTCACGGCTTATTGATAAGCAATATCCCGGCAGGTGACCGCTTCAAGGACAGTGCGGGCTCCCAGCAGGCTCCAGAGAGAGCGCACACAGCAAAGAGAACTGGGGGCGGGGCTCAGACTATAGAAAACTGAAGCTCAGAGCCCTGTCCAGACCGCTGCTCCTGTGTATAGGAGGCAGTGTTTTTCCGCCCTCCCCCACCAGCGGCCTCAAGTGGTTGCTTGTGCTGCCTTTATGGTAGTGCTGGCTGTGATCCAAGGTTTGTCAGAACAGATGTGGCCACTGTGCCTCTGTATGTTGATGACAGACTGACAGCGGCTGCATCTGTTAGTGGCAGTCTGCATGTAATTGCACATAGAATGAGTACCTATGGTTCGGGATAGATTATTGTTCCTGGACGCAGACAGATCTGTACGGACATACCTGGGATTGCTGCCGCAAGAATCCATAAGTCCATGCTGCAGGAATCCCCAACCGCACATGATAGCCCTGTGTAAATGTAACGTAACACTCTAACATATGCTGCAGTATTTCTAACTCTGGGGTTGTCGCTCAACTTCTTTCACTTTCTTTCACACATCTGCTGCAAAACCTATTACATATGCTGCAACATTTCTCTATATGGGGGACACTTTAGGTCACTAGCTCATCCTGAGGTTTCTTGATTGCCCTGTGATCACTCCTGTAAACTTTAGTTTACAGATATGGTAAAAATGTGTTTTCTTTCTCTTCCATTGAGGGACACAGGAATTCTTAAACCTTCAAGTTATTCTGCTGCCTGTAGCAGAAATGGACAATGGCAACAAAAAACTGTTAGCCAGTACAGTATACTCTAACCACTATCCACATGCCTCAGTTTTTTTTCTGTGTCCTCAGGAGAGTGTACATAGTTTCCTCAGCTCTGCTGTTCTGTGTTTGGAAGATTTATCTATCAACAGCTGCTGGTAGATTCATGGCGGATACTGGAAATCCTGGAATTTTCTCCATTCAGCCAATGAACCCAGGTTTTTCCAGTTGTATACTGGTGTTAGTTCTATGACAGCCCAGAAATTCTGGATGAATCTACCAGCTACTGGTAGATTCAGCCAGGATATGGAAATCCTGGACAGCTCCCCAGTTAGTCCATCCTCCCCTCCCACCCCCCCCACCCTCCAGCTGCCTGCTGTTTAGGAGGAGAAGGGCGGGAGTAGTGCCCAGCCTGTTTTGTTGTGCATGAGGGTGGCTGGAGAGGAGCGCTGTCATTCACAAAAACACAAGTTCTACAACAACAATACACTCCAGCTACTAGTCTTAAACACTGGTATGTTTAAGAAAAGGGTAGTACCTGACTTCTGGTGTTGTAGGCTTGTTTTTTGAATGACGGCGCTCCTCTCCAGCATGCCATCATTCATAACAACACAAGCCTCCAGCTACTACTGCAGTTGCTGTCCCCTGAATGCCTGGCAGCTATGTCTGGGATCAATCTTTTCTGTCAGTTTCAGTTAAATCTGAAAAGGGCTGGAAAATTTATATGGAGGGCTACAGAATGAAGAGGGAGAAGTAGCTTTAGTGCTCCTCCATGGGAACGCCCCAAAAATGGGCTTGAGTGTGGGAAGCTACAGCACAGCACTGACAGAAAAGAAATGTGTGGTTTTATTTCTAAATCACTGCACAGATTTGAATGGGACCCAGTATGGTGTGTGCTAGTTTCCTTGGCAGATATAACAAACATTTTCAAATCCTCTGTTAGATAGTGACTAGATCTTTCCTGATCATGCTATGTCTTGCCCTTCCTACTCTCCTAATTACCCTAGTGGCTAAGTGTAGTGTTCACCTTCATTGGATTTGTCTATATTATTGTACCCCAGCTGAGATCTAGGATTGGTGGTTTATTTATCTAGCCATTGATTTGCTTTAAAGTGGACCTAGAATCAGATATGGCATACCAGTCTTAGTCCGTAGGATTTAATATTGAGTTGGCCCACCCTTTGCAGCTATAACAGCTTCAACTCTTCTGGGAAGGCTGTCCACAAGGTTTAGGAGTGTGTCTATGGGAATGTTTGACCATTCTTCCAGAATCGCATTTTTAAGGTCCAGTACTGATGTTGGACGAGAAGGCCTGGCTTGCGGTCTCCGCTCTAATTCTTCCCAAAGGTGTTCTAATGGGTATAGGTGCAGGCCAGTCAAGACCCTCGACCCCAAACTTGCAAATCCATGTCTTTATGGACCCTGCTTTGTGCAAACTTTACTCTTGGCACATTGCAGTCAGGCAAGTACTGTTCTCCTGGCAACCACCAACCCCAGACATGTCCATCGGATTGCCAGACTGAGAAGCATGACTTGTCACTCCAGAGAACACGTCTCCACTTCTCTAGAGTCCAGCGGCGCCATGCTTTACACCACTGCATCCAACGCTTTGCATTGCACTTGGGGCTGTAAGGCTTGTATGCAGCTGCTCGGCCATGGAAACCCATTCCATGAAGCTCTCTACGGACTGTTGTTGTGCTAATCTGAAGGCCACACAAAGTTTGGAGGTCTGTAGCTATTGACTCTGCAGACAGTTGGCGACCTCTGCACCCTGTGCGCTTCAGCATTCGCTGACCCCGCTCTGTCATTTTATGTGGCCTACCACTTCATGGCTGAGTTGCTGCTGTTCCCAGTTGCTTCCGCTTTGTTATAATACTACTAACAGTTGACGTGAAATATTTAGTAGCAAGGACATTTCACGGATGGACTTATTGCAAAGATGGACTTATTGCACAGGTGGCAACCTATCGTGGTACCATGCTTGAATTAACTGAGCTCCTGAGAGCGACCCATTCTTTCACAAATGTTTGTAGAAGCAGTCTGCATGCCAAGGTGCTTGATTTTATACACCTGTGGCCATGGAGGTGATTGGATCACCTGAATCCAATGATTTGGAGGGATGTCCCAATACTTTTGGCAATATAGTGTATTTTTATATGGTA